GGGAGGGAGAGAGAGAGAGAGAGAGAGAGAGAGAGAGAGAGAGAGAGAGAGAGAGAAAAGGACAGAGGAGAGTGGCAAACAACTCGCACCTTGGCAACCCCAACGACGGAGTACGTACATGCGGTGCTATACTCCGCTGATTGCTGAGCTGCGTGATTGCGACAGCCCAGTGGTCGTCGTCGATTGCAGGTTGAGGAGTCCACGGCTCCAGTCTTAGGGCATACTCACACGGGGACCTATAATCCCAAAATCCCCAAAAAAAGGGGAAAAGGCCGGTCACACGGATCTACCATTTGTCAGCGGCCTGGGAAGCCGCGGGGCCTCTGGAGGTGAACGCAAATTCCCTTCTTTTTTTTTGCATTTTCTTCAAAAATTGGCAAAACTTCGTTCACAAGCGCCGTGTGACCAGCCAAGTACCAAATCCCCATTTCTCCAGACGGCCGCGACCTTGTCCCATCTGAAAAGGTACAGCAGTGTGACGTGAACCATGCCCAAAACCTCAAATCGGCCCTTCCCAAATCCCCATATTTCGCGGATTTGGGGTCGCCGTGTGAGTATGCCCTTAGACGAGAACAGGCCTGCACGAAGGGTAAGGCCGAATGACACCATGCTCGGCCGTGTGAGTATGCCCTAGACGAGAACAGGCCTGCACGAAGGGTGAGGCCGAATGACAACATGCTCGGCGCGGTGACTAGAGCCGCGAAACCACGCTGCGAGGAACCAGGCTCTCGGCTCCACTTGGTCCCTGGCCTGTCAGAGCGGCATACTGCTATGGCCCAGGCCCGCAGCTCCATTTGGTGCCTGGGCAGTAAGTGGGGCTGTCACCCTTATTTGGTGCCCGGGCAGTAAGTGGGGCTGTCACCCTTGGGCCATGTATGGGAACGGGCCATCGGGATATCCTTTCCCGGAATACTTTCGCGTCTCGTCAAAAATGGGCTTGGGCCATGGGCCCATTCAATAAGACAGGGCGGGGCCCCTACCGGCTTGCGGAGGTTCGGATTTTGTTTTTAGTCGTGCGACGCAGCTCGTTATCTGAGACCATTAGATCATATGCTGCCCGAAGAGATCAGTTTGGTCTACAATAAAATTGCAAGTAAAAACGGGGATGCTCGGTGGAGTTGGTCAACGATGATGTAAAAGGGAAAAGGAGTGGGGCGGGCGCCGTTCGTGCGAGGCGCTTCGACTGGCACGTTAGCGCTCGGGCCTACCTCTCGGCAGGCCTAACCGGCGGCAGATGACTCGGGCGTAAAACTGTCGGCACAGGTGGTACCTCTTCGTCTTCGTGTTGAAGAAGACCTATGGTGAAAGTCATGGTAGATGTTACCAGTGGTTGTCCACTTCGAAGTTCCCCATTTGCCATCATTCCTCTTATAGTTTCCTCAATTTCCTCTTCTGCATTCTCCTTCACTTTTATGTGACTCATTTCTTATAGGAGAATCAATCTCCTTCCCTTCTATCTTGACCTCGTCAACTAAAGTTCTTCTGCCTCCTTTCCATGACGACACCCCTTTTTTAAGGTTGTCCAATACCTTCATCATATAGGACCTAACATTTGACATTTCTGTTTCGTGAGTTGATGCTTTCACATGCGCTAACGTTAATTTTATTTAGGGAAGCTCTTTCACGACCATCTCGCATTTCTCTCGCGGTAGAGTACCCAATAATATTCCACATCCCTCTATTTGGCCTATAAATCCCCTTTCTACCAAAGCGGTCGACGCTTTCTCACACCTTTTCGCAAACACTATCAGACTCTCGTTATCATCCATCTTCATTTTTTTTAGGGCTTCTACCGAATAAAATGCATCCTCACACGTAGAGGTTCGCAATACCTTCTCTTTGAATGCCATCCACCTGCCATCCTCAAGCATAGGAACTCTCACCTCACGATCTACTTTTGGTGTTGTGTGAAAGAGGAAATCATAGGAGTTCCCACAAAAGATACAAGGTCGGATCATAAAGTGGTTGTCCATAAGGACCTGATACATACCCAATCGGAAAGGAACTTTTCTTGTACGGTTCGCAAGGCGCTTCCCCTCAGGTTTTCCTTATGAGCAATTCGATGAATTTTGTACCCCTTGATCGTGTAAAAGTTTTCCTCCAACTCACTGCAGGACCTCCTCGATTCTCAAGTTCCTTTGCTCGGTTGTGGAACTCCCTCAAGATTTTTTTTAACTTTTCCGCATCGCTCACGGTCTCCACACTCACTTTCCTCTCCAAGCTATTGGTTTTAAACTCTTGTGTTTTAATTTATCTTCCTATCGAAGGTAAATAGTCTCCTTCAGTATCCATTATTCTTGCTAATCTCAATCCTCATACGCTCAATTTAAGTATGTAATGATTTTGTCGGTCGAGCCTTATAGGATCTCAAGTAACGCCTCAAAATCAGTCTCCTCACCTGCTTCCTTAACAACCAAGGCTGTGTAAAAAACCTCCTTGCTAAGACAAGAGTTAGCTTCCAATGTCTTAAAAAAGACTCTGACCACTACAGTCTTTGAAAACTCTAAAAACTATTTTGTTCGTTCTCCCATATTATTCGTAGTTTCTCTTAGCGTCCCTCTCCATAAATGACGAACAGTCTCCCTTTTGAACGAAATCATAAGAATCTCTATCTTGACTAAGTGAATCTCATCGGCTACTCACAATACCTCATATTTTTTCGCTTCTACTATTAATCGTCTCGCACATTCCGCCTCTTCAGTCTGCTTCAACCTAGCTTCATGTTGTAGTTGGACTCGCGCTCACATTAGTGATCCCTCTACTTTTCCTTCGATAGTAAGTTGATAGTCTTCATCACCGGACTCAACGCTAACCATTCATTTTACTTGGCATTGTTTGACCCTTCACGACTTCGTTCCTTGATTCTTGTCAAAAATTTATTTCTCCACTCAACTACCATCTCTGTTTCTTCCTTGTAGAGAGCAGTCAATTCCTCTAGTCTCCTTTTCAACGCAAAAAAACTCTCTTCATCTGTAGAACGCCACCATGCATGATATCCATCTCTAAGTTCTCTCACAATGACATTAATAGGCATCATAATTAGTTCCCTTACCTTGTCAGAACTTTCACTTCTACACACGCGCCCTCGCCTCTTAAGATCGTCTATTATTCCTTCATCTCGCACTTTATCCATCTCTGCAACCACATTGGCACGTCACAAGTTATCTTGTTTTCGGACATTACCAAATTAAGCACTCGGGGTCGTTTCCGAATTATGGTCTCTTGCACTTATCATCAACGACAACGAATATTCAATTTTTGAATTGTGCTCACTCGAATTATAGACGTTATTGTCCGACCGAATGATACGTTATTCACTTCTACTTCTTCGGTTTCGCGCTTGACATTGATTTCTAACTCGTTTTAGCCTCGTCGCAATTCCACACGAAGTCTGTCAATGAAGTTCATTTATGTCTCGACAAGCGAAAACCATTTAAAAAAGGTTTCGGTAACCTATCAATATAGACTCCAAAAGAAAATTTTCTTCTCTTTTCAATTTCACCTTCTTTCTTAGTGTTATCCCGATGACACATTTTCAAAAAGTGGCAACAACGACAATATTCGCAACCACTATGTCTCTCTCTCGGTACATAGATCTTGGTATCGTACTCGTCAAGTTTTTGAAAATAACAAGTTATCACATATAGGTTGTTGTGCTCTCATCCATATTTTTTCAGAGCCTCATATCTCACTACTTCGTAGCGAAGCAACTCTACTCTCGCTAACGACTTCAGGGAATCCAACAATAATCAATTTTTTTATTCGCTTAGCCTACCAACTCCTCTCCCTAGTTGCAGCCAAGGTCATGGCACCGACAACGTATTCATGAGTATCTGCCTCTCTTTCCTTTCATAGCCTCCTAGTTTCTTACCGCCTTCAGGGTAACTGCGAGTCTATCGTTTTCACCTCGGATCTCGTGCTTGCCTTCTACGCAAAAAAGTGTCGTAACAAGATAAAGTTTTGCCCCCACTTTTCTCCACGCATGCAACACCCTTCCTAATCTCTAAGATACTTGTCTCAAGGTGTCTAATTCTTCGAAAGATTAAGAGCCCTTGAGCACACAAGTCCTTGTAGGTCTAGACGCTCAACAGACGATGTAGGTCATTCGACATTTTCCTAATGAATTTGCTTCCAACCGCTTTCCACTAATTCATAGGTTACTATCTCGTAAGGAATTACCTTTCTACGTCCTAGAGAGCTAAAAGATTCGCAAAAGTTTACTCGCTTACCCTTTAACGGATTATTTATACTAATAAAACTTTGTTTTCTGCATGTTAGTTCTTCTTCAGAGTTCACCCCCGCTTTACTCATCCTTTACCCATTCCAAAGTTTGAGTACCATATTCACCATAGGTCCAAGTTGCTTTCATCTATAGAACTCTCTGGACGAGACGAGTTAGGGATACCATCATATTTTCTCGCTTGGAGACCTAAAATAATATTTTTTTTACCAACTTCTTCCTATAGGCGCAGATAATGGTTTCTGCTCATCTCTTTCACCCCTATAAATCGCGAATTCAAATCCTTCCTTTGTAACTATATACTATAACATCACACTCGTCGGTCTTTATGACCTTGGTCACCAAAATATACACCTTTTCACCTAACCCGGTATTTGTCAGCACCATATAACTTTCGAATATATAAGGGAAAGGACTACCTAGCGTTAAAGGAGCCTAGTTTATAAAAAAAGTTCATAACTCACGAATTCAATATAGGTAAACTCCAATGTATCCCTCTCTCCCAAAATTACGGTTTCCAATGAGGTCAGTTACACCTTCCTCAACACGGTCCAGATTTAAAAAAAAAAAAATTATCTCTGCTATTTGCCCTCATTGGAACCCCCAATCAAGGTCACTGTTCCCATACACATTCCTCTATTTAAAAGAAACATACCCGGCCTTTCGAAATTTCGTTATCATCTTCCCATTCGTTCAAAAATGAATCCTCATATTCGTCTTCCTCCTCACCGTCACCTGAGTTTTCGAAGGACCTATCATAAATGTCAAGCTTCAATCATCATAGGAGTGGTTTACTACAATCCTTGATTTAGAATACTTTAGATAACCAAATTATGTAGTTAGATACACTCCTAAGCCCCTTGTCGAAAATGGTTCTTGATGGATAGCTGGGGGGTTCAAGTTGACTCACAACACTTGTCAGGGTGAGACACAGGTACTTCGTTCGCGTGTGACTTCGGTAGGTCGAGTAGAGGTATGGAGTAGGAAAAGGTCGTACGAGTGAGACACCGCTACTTCGGTCCACCCTAAGACACATGAGTTGGCCAACTCGTGCCCACGTCGTGGCAAAGAAGGAAGATCGGTGATGATGGTTAGTTGAGCCATCCTCCTTCTTAACACGAGGGTAGGGAGAGATACACCAGAGAGCAGTTCTTTCCTAGGCTTATTGATGCCTTGAAGGGCTACAAGAGTGTTCAACGAAGCTCTATCGTGTGGTTCTCTGACCTTGCGAGTCTGAGAGTGGGCACAGGGCTTGAGTGAGTCGAGAAAAGTTGTGACCTTTGTTTTTGCTTAGGAACAGTTTTTATCGAGTCACAGATTGAATTCCATGTCGGACGAACTACGGATCCTTACGAGCTAGTAAACTTACTTTTGAAGGATGGAGCAAATATAAACGGCCTAGAGAGCAAGGGTTGATAGTGAGAGAGATAATATTTATACGGGTGAGGAGTGTGTGCGAGCTCAGGGGGTGCGTGAGGAGAGATAAAAAGTATATGTCGTTAGTCGGGTTAGAAAATGTTATAATATACCTGTCACATGACGAGTGAATTTTTTTGGCGGTTGACACCGTTAGAAATTGCCGAGTATTGCTGAGTTTGATTGCGCTTAGCTCCAGGTATTTGTCACCCAATTTAGTGTTATTCTCAGCCCACATCATTAAGGTTATTCTCGCATCATCCTTGAATTTCACCCAATTTAGTGTTATTTGAACTTATTTCTTATTTTTGTATTTTCACACGTATCCGTCTCCAATAGTTTTCCTTAGTGGCTGATCGCATTCCATCGAATCGTGTTTCATATTCAAGTCCTGGTGGTAGCGCTCAGGGATAAAACATTCAACACAACTCTTCAGGTATCGTTTTTTCATAATTATAATATGACGGTCGGTCGAGGATTTTGGTTCCCCATCAGTGTATTGTCATCCAACATTATAATTTCGCGTTTTTATTGAAACAATAAATTTTATGGCAACAGTCGAACCCTGACAAAACCATCCTCCTTGCTTCATATTTCGGAATAGTCTCGCCTTAGCTTGATTTTCCTGTGTCCTCCCTACGCGATTAACCAACCGTCTCCGAAATTTCACCGAAAATACTCAGTTAAAACAAAAACCTTACTGAAAATTTTAGATATGGACAAAAGTTGGATGGAAAATAAAAAATATAGGCCAAATATAAACAAAACTTTTAATTATAATTACACCAAACTTTTCAAATATAAAAAAACTTTGAATAACATTTTCAAATGTTGACGGAGGGTTGGAGTGAAATTCCACCAAAGGTTTCAAATGCAAAGTTATGGACCATACACACAAGTCTGATGATGAATAATCAACGTACACTGCATCTCCTG